GAACATGGACCCTCTGCTCTCAGGATGAGCTGTGTGACAGATCATCATCTGTGCGGACATTGACTCCAGACACCAGGCATTCTGACAGCAAGCTCAGGAAGGAGGACACTGCCTTGTCCTCATGTGTTTCAGGAATAAGTAATATTGATAGCGAAAGTGTGTCCCAAAGCAAGAGATGCGAACTCAGAGGCTCTCAGCACAGAGGGGAGAAAACATTGTTTCCTATCAGCAGCCCCGAATGCAAACGCCAGGTACAGAGAGCCCAGAGGCTCAGGAACCACAAATGCACAGCAGAGACCGCAAGCAGCGTAAGTGCTAGGAAGTGAAGACCAGAGAGGTCAAGTAGCTGATGCAATGCTGCCTTGCTGGGCTCCTGATAAGCTGGAGTTTGTAGTGAGCACAAGGCTCATGGGGGCTGGGGACACACCCTATGCCTTTGGAATAGAGGGGAGGGACATGGTTTTTCTGCTAATCCCTAGGGCAGGGCACTCCTGTGCCATTTGTACTCCACCCTGAGAATGTGTGAAGGACCTAGGAGGCCAAGCACAGCCAGTTACCAGCCAGCTGCTCTCTGTCGTCATAACGTCTGACCCAGCGCTCTGGTCTCCAATCCATCTACCACTGCCCAAATTCAAAACTGTCCCATACGCCTAGCCAGGAGGAATGGCTATCTCCAGGGCTGTCCAGCAGGTCTACTTGGTCAACAGGAAGGAGCAGTGTGCTGGGAGTCAGCCCTGCCCTCTGAGCAGCTCAGCATCTCAGCATGGGATGAACTTGGTCAAACTACAAACCAGGTCTTTGCTGAACAGGAAGGTTGGGTTGGGTGACCTCCAAGGCACTGCAGTTCAGCCTGACCAGAGGTACTCATTCAGGCTAGGACACATATCCATGACCCTAGGAAGGCAGGTACCTCACAGTGGGCAGGCGGGTGGGGCTGGATTCTGCATCTCCAGCCCCAGCTGGTCCAGGGTCTGCAGAAAGCTTGCTTATGCAAGTCTGGCTGTGTTGGTGCAATGGGATCACTGTAGATTTGCCCAATACCAGAGCAGTTAAATTAGCTGTGGAGCTGGAGCCCATCTCTGCTTCACTTTAAAGATGCCAGGGTTAGGAATCAGCGTTCTAGAATAACAGCCAGGGCACATGTGTGTGGGTGCACATTTGGTCAACTACTTATTTCTTTTGGGAGACGTTTATCTTGGCTCTCAGTCCAGCCTCTTGTTGGCTACCAGGTTAGAACGGCTTCCCCCGTTTCCCCTTCCGTGAGGCTGTTGGGAGGACACAATGGAACTGCTTCTCTATGCCCTGCTCCCTTTGTCTCCAAGGAGAACTCGTGGGTTCAGCCAAGTACAATTCAGTAAGAATTAAAAACTCATGATGGCACCAGGCATGGTGGCACACGCCTTTAATCCCTGCACTTCGAAGGCAGAAGCAGGTGGATTTCCCCGAGTTTAAAGCCAGCCTGGTCTACAAAGTGAATCCGGGACAGACACAGAGAAACCCTGTCTTGAAAAACCAGACCAACCAACCAAATGAGCAAAACCCACCATGGCAGTATCTGCAGTTAACCATGTGGAAAAAAAAAAAAAAAAAAAGAATCAGGCTCCATCCTTACTCCAAGGCATTCACATGCACATGGGGTGTGCGTGTGTGTGTGTGTGTGTGTGTGTGTGTGTGTGTGTGTGTGTGATGAGGCATATGCTCAATGTGTGGGTGAAGATAAGATCCGTCTATAAGGAAGTCAGCTTGCGCAGTCTACTCTACAGCTTATTTTAATCCACTCCTATGAGGCCACTACTATTTTAACACCTACTCCATAGGCAAAGAAGTGAGGTTTAAAGAATCAGGCATCACTGGGTGTGGTGGCGCAGCCTTTAGTCCCAGCACTCAGGAGGCAGAGGCAGGCGGATCTCTGTGAATCCTAGGCCAGCTTGGGCGTCATAGAGAGACCCCCACCTCTCAGCCATTGAGAGGGAGAGGGTTAAGAGGACCAGGAAGTACACACACCATTGGAAATGCCAGGAGAAAGCTGTGTGGGAGAAAGCTCTGGCGTCTGCCTTGAAGGATGTGTAGAGCCCAACCTTGATAAAGTGTTAATGGCGAAGGAGGGGACCATGCACACAAGGCTTGGGGCGGTGACACCCTGCTTCTTCAGGAACCTGGGCGTGATGTGATTTTCCTTGTGGGCTGCGCTGAGAGACTTAGATGTTACCTCTCAGGTAATGGGGATCTCTTGAAAATCCTTGCGCAAAGGAGGCATTTTTTGAAATGGGTTCAGCACGACCCTCAGAATCAACTAGGCAGGGCTCACAGGAACTTGCAGAGAATGAAGTGACAGCCAAAGAGCCTCCACGGGTCTTCACTGTGGTCGTCTGGCTTGGGGTGTTTGAAGGACTCCTAACAGTGGGAGTGGGCTGTCTCTGACTCTTTTGTCTGCGCTCGGGACCCTTTTCCTCCTACTGGTTGCCCCTTCCAGCCTTGATATGAGGGTTTGTGCCTAGTTTTATTGCACCTTGTTATGTCACATTCAGTTGCCCTGCTCTTTTCTGAAGCGAAGTAGAGGAGCAGTGGACCTGGGGGAAAGGGAAGGTGGGGGGGCACTGGGAGGCTGTGGTCGGGATGAATTGTATGAGAGAAAAAATAAGTAATAAAAATTTGAAATGTATATGTATTTAGAAAAGGTTTTAGGGGTCACGGTTTATGGAAGAGAGGGAGCCCCAAGGAGCACAACGGGAGGGAGGAAGCTTCAGCAAGCCGTCCATCTGGAGATGCCTGTGTGCCGGGAAGGGCAAGCAATCAGGCACATGCGGGGAAGGCTCCCTGGCTACACGAAGTGTCCCGAAATGGGGAGCACTTCTGTGCACCTGCCTGCTGATTGCGTTATTATTTTTTTAAGTCAGGCTGAAACAGGGCCACGTGGGTCCAGAGGGCTAGCCGGCAGCATGTGCACGGCCAGCACAGTGCGGATCTGGTCAGTGGGGTGTGGCCCACTCATCGTGGAGAACTTGGCTGAAAGCCCAAGTCCTGGGTTCCTGTGCCAGCTCACAGCTGGCCACCTGCCACACTCCCAAGAGGAGGGTGGAGAGCTGGCCCGGTGGCCCGAGTCCTCCTGGCTCCAGCCTTCCAGCGGGAGCATGTCATCCCGCCTGCCTCCTGCTGCCAAGTTCGCAGGCTCTGTGCGTCAAGCCCAGCGCGAACTCCGGGCCGAAGCCAGTTCCTAGAAGTCAAGTCAGTTTGGGAAAGGGCACTTGCCACTTGCCTGCTACTGGTGACCTTGGTCATGTCCCTTGGCTATTCTGAAACCTAGCCTGGGGCCCTAAACACAGCCCAAATGGGGCTGATCATCCGCCTCTCCCAGCCCCTCCCCCAATCTGCTGCCTCTTCTCAAGGTTTAAGGTTGGATGGAACAAGCCATTTCCTGTGTTAAGGGTTTTGTTACTCCTTGGACTCGGCAGTATTGATACCCAATTAAATATGACCCAAGCATAGTCCAGAGACTCCCACAGCTGCTCCAGGGTGGTGAAAGGCAGGACTGGAGTACAGAGTTCTCACCCAGCCCCAGAGGAGGCTGTGCTGCAGTGGAGACCAGCTGGCCCAGGCCCTGGAACCGAACGGTCCACAGTACCAGCTCTTCCTGGTCCACATAGAGAAGGCAGCAGCAGAGTCTTGCTCGGTCTAACCAACTTCCACATCCTCCTGGTCTCACCCACCTCCCTACGTAGAGACAATCTCTAGCTGGAGTTCAGAGGCCTTGTTTTGTTTTCGGGCTTGTTTTATACTAACCTTCTATTTATGGCCTGGGACAAGGGCTTCCCATGTAAGGCAATGACATTAATGAGACTGAAAAATGTGTTGGGGGTAGCAGGTCTTGGATGAAGGAAAATATTAAGAAATATGTGGCCCGTGGAAACAAGAACGGCCGGTGTCTGGTCTGGGTTCAAAGCGCCCCCTAGCATAGCATGCCCTGGCTCCTATCCGGACAGGAAGGGCGGGTGTCCCACGACACCGGCGGCCAGGGGAGGTCTCCCTGGTGCCCTCTGAGCTGCATCCCTCGGACAAGGTGATTCTGGGCCATTCGTGGCTGCACGTGCGCTGCCCATGTGCCCCTCACGCCAGACGCTCGCAGAAGGAAGTGGCTGCCTGGCTCGGGCTCCCAGCGAACAGAGGTGGTCAAGGAGGGGTGTTTCGCTCACGGCGAGCCTGGAGGGTCAGGAGCGGGTTCCCACGGCCTGGGCTGGCGTGCGGGCGAGTGCGTGCGCAGTGTCAGCCTCCCAGGCCCGTGCCATGCGGCCTTCCGGTCACGGTGCGCGCGGCCGAAGCCTCGGGACAGCCCTCCTCCCCCCGCGGCCCCAGCCCCACGCGCCCGGGCACGCGTAGCCGCAGATTGCCGCGGCCCTGAGACGGGGCGGGGATGGGGTGGGACCTGGCAGCGGTACCCGCCTCTGATTGGACGCTCGTGGCGGGGGCGGGGTGCGGGCGGCGGAGCCCAGACGCCGGCGCTGGGCAGGTGGGCTCAGGACGCAGCGCGCACGAGGGCGCGAGCCAGGCGTGGGGAGCATCATCCGAAGCCCGAGCGTGGGCCCCTAGGGGAGGACTCGGAGACCGTGCTCCCCGCGGGGAACAGCAGTGTTCACCCGCGGGAGAGGACGAGGGAGGAGGCGCCCACCCCAAGAAACTTCTCCTCCCTCAGCAGAGGAGGCTCAGTGCGGAGCGACGTCGGCTTTGGGCGAACTTGGAGCTGCGGATCCTTAAGGCGTCGTTCAAGGTCCCCATCCACACGCGCGCTGAGCGGAGCTAGCGGCGCCTGGCGAGGAGCAAGCAGCGGTCCTCCCTGCGAGGGTCAGCTGCCGGACGGGGAAGGCCGCGGCCCGGCGCGCAGCCCCTCTACCCTGCGCAGGGCCGCTGCCTGGGGGCCAGAGAAGGAGGTAACGTAAGCGGCCAGGCGGGTTCGCAGGCTGGAGACACGCACGGATCGTCGCCTCCAAAGGTCCCCCTGACTCTCCGAGGTCCTCTCCTTCATCCTCGGAGTCGTCCCCTTACCCCTCAGTGCGGAGCCCCAGGCGGGGACACCCCGTATTGGACGTCCCCAGACCTCCGTGCACCTGGCTCAACCGGAGTCCCCCGTGTCGGGGCAGGGCAGGGCCACCGGCGGCGAGCCGGAGCCAGCCCAACGCCCCGGCCCCGCCGAGCCCTCGGAGCCCACTCATGGCTCCCCGGCTCCGCGCGCCTCCTCGCCCGGTCGCGCTCAGTCCAGCTCGGGGCGCCGCGTGCGGGAGGATCCGTACGCAGTGACCCTGGAACCCCCGCAGATGCCCGAAGACTCGCCAGCCGACTCGCCAGCCGGAGGAGCGGCAGGAGATTCCCCGCACCTCCAGGAGCTTCCAGGTAGCCCTCCAAGCCGTGCTCAGGGCCCGGCTCGCTGTTCCCAGGTAAGGGAGACACCCCAAGGGAACGGGCGGGGGCGGGGGGGTAGCTAGGTGGAGGGGCAGTCGGCTCAGCAGAGGAACGCAAGCTGGCTTTACATGATGAGGGAAACTTAAACTGAAACTACTACGTGCTGGGATGCTTTGCCCACGTAGAGAATTAAGCTCAGGAGGTGCCCAGCCTACATCAGGTGGTTGCTAGCCCCTTAGGAAAGAAGGTTTATTGAGCTCTTGTGTGCTCCATTTGTCCCTGGGAGCCTTCTTTTAGATCATGAGCCAGGCCACTGGAGGAAACTGAGACTCAAAGAGACATAACCCCCTCTGCAGGACCTCTCTGGAGGAAGAAAGGCCAGGGGTCCTTTAACTACTTAGAGTCCCCTGAGCTTTGGAGCGTTTCCTTCAAGATTCCCATGCTACAAGGGTTTCCTGTACTCAGCTGGCCGGTGTGTGGGGCCTGTGAACCTCACTCTACTGTCTACCCCTGCCACCAGTTCGGGGAGAATGAGGAAGGGTATTTATTGCTCAGGACCTCCTGGGAGCTAGGACAGGGCCTGGAGCAATGGCCTGCTTTGGAGCCTCTGATTCAGGTCCCCCTAAGCCTCAGAGGGACAAGGTGGGATCCCCACAAGTCGTCTGCTGGACTGGGAGCAGCCAGGTGGCCCACAGCTGCTCAGAGAGACGCTCCCCCCAACAAAAGAGCCCTGTATTGGAAAGGCTTCTGGATGCCTGGCCGTGCTGTGTTTGTTTCTACCTGATGTTTAACAGAGGAGTAAACTGAGTGAGCAGACCAGATCACTGAGTTTTTGGGCTGGCACAAGCAGAACGGGTTATCCAGAAGCGTATGCTCCTGCTCTCTGCCCTCCTGAGCTCCCCAGGATGGAAAGGGTGGCTTTACACCACCTTGGGACCCCCCAGAGTGTGGGGGAAGAGTCATGACTACAGCTATGTCCTAAGAGGCTTGGCATGAACAAACGGGGTGTCATGGTGAACTTGGCTCTGGGGTGCTCCCAAGGAACTGACCAGACTCTCTTCTGGTTGTCCTTACCCATCTGGACCTGCCCAGCTTCCGTCAAGCACGGTGGCAGACACAGGGAAGAAGGTGAATGCCCACAGTTGCACTGCCTGGGAGCTGCCTGGCAGGGTATGCAGAGAGTCCTGGGCAGGGTGCCCACCCCAGCTGCCTGGAGGCAGAGAGGAAAAGGGGCTCTAACAGGAATCACAGGGTCACTCCCTGCCCAGTGCCGGGTGGGCATCACTGAGTCAGAGCTGCTTGGAGAAGACTCCAGTTTGAGCCGCTAGAGGGGTGGTAGGGCCTTTTTGTAGAGGTGAGAGGTCAGGTTTGATGGTCTGCTTGTAATCCCAGCCAGACATCTGCTGTGTGGATTCAGGGCAGCGACTCAACCTTTCTGAGAACCAGAGTCCCCATTTGTCCTGGGAGAACTTCTCATGGGAATAAGGCAGTCCCCTGCATGTCAAATGTCCCTGGGGACAGCCCTACTCCTGTCTTTGAAGGTGCCTCCCACCACTCTGGTTACATGCAGATTCCTCTTCTTAAATTCCTTTCCCCACTTCTCTAGGCCACCAGGATTGGCTCTGGGCAGGGAGGGCCTGCCTGTGCTGTCTGTTCTACACTTTAAGGGCCGCCTCCCATCATGTATGTGTTTCTCTGCTCAGATCACTGTGGGCTGAGGCAGCTGCCCACTGGCAGTTCTTAAGGGTGCTGGAGTTCTGATCCTAAGGCCCTTGTGTCCCCTATTGAATGCAAACCTAGAGCTGGCTGTGAGTCCTTGCTTTGGGGTTGCAGCACTATGCACACAGAAGGTGCTCAATAAATGATCTGTGAATGAGAGAAATTTCAGATGACTTTGCCACCAGGCTCGCCCAACACTCTGACTCCCCTTTTCCTACCCCTTCTCTGGGGTTTAGAATCTGTCTGTCCCCACTGTGGGGCCAGCCAGGCTGGGAACAGAGCGAGATGGGCAGGCAGCAGGGGAGACTCTGCCCACAGGGCCTTAGGGCTTCCCCCAGCATCTCCTGTGTCGGTGGAGCCATAGAGGCCCGTCACCAGGCTTCCAGGTATGTGGGTTTCTCGCACAGCCCCACATGCCTGAAGCCATGTGCTAAGACTAGCTCTGTCAGATGAGAAAGCCTTGAGGTCTTCTGTCTCCGCCCCTTTCTGATCCCCTGTCTCTTATTTCTAACTCCCTGCTGCACCCCTCCCTTCATGCTTCCTCTCTCTGACTCCCTCCTCCTCTTTTTCTCCTCCTTCATTCCTCCTCTTTCTCATTCCCTGCATCCTCTCTGACTCCCAGCCTTGTTTCTCAGACTCCGTCCTCTCAGTCATTGTGTGTTGGGAGGTCAGGGCTAGCTGCAGGAGCAAGGAGGCAGACTGTATCCCCAAGGCCTGCTGGCTCACTTCCTGTCCCCCATCTAGCGAGAGGTGATCGTCAGCAGCTCTCCTTCATGAAAAGACTGGGTGGGTGCCTCTGGGAAACTAAGCCACACTTGGGGGCCTTCAGTAGGACTGAGGGGTGTTTTTTTCCCAGCACAGCCAGGGGCCAGGCAGGGAGACTGGGTGAAGGAAGAAGGTCTTACAGTCAAAGTGGGGTTGGGGGCAAGGGAGTTGAGAGGGTTAGCTGAGCCTGATGGCAGAATCATCTGCAGTTTCTCTCACTTACGGATCATTTATTGAGCACCTTTTGTACACAGTGCTGCAGCCCCAAATCACAGACTCAAAGCCTGCTTTCAGTGGAGGACATAGGGCCTTAGGATCGGAACTCCAGCACCCTTAAGAACTGCCAGTGGGCAGGTGCCTCAGCCCACAGTGATCTGGGCAGAGAATCACACATATGATGGGAGGCGGCCCTCAAAGCACAGAACAGACAGCACAGGCAGGCCCTCCCTCCCAGCATCTCGACCTCTCTGTGTCAGTGGCCTCCTTGTCTACCCTCTGGGTCATTGAAGGATGGAGCAGGCGTACGCCTGGCGCTCACAGCGCTGCGATATATATTAGCTGCAAAATAAATGTCAGGAGTGTTATTGTTCTATACTTAGCCCACACTTGGCATGCTCCTGGGCTTGGCCCAGGAATGATGGCTCTGGTGCCAGGCCTGGGGTCCGCAGCGTGCTGAGCTGGCCTGTTGTGTGTGTCTGTGCCGTTTGTTCTTGGAGGTTATGTTGCGGGCTGGGAGCTGGGAGCACTTACACTGTGGAAATTGACAAAGGGTACCACGCAGGGCCTTTAGGAAAGGTACAGGGCCTCAAGCAGGCAGGCCTGAGGAGCATGAGTGCATGCCTGGAGACTTGCACCCAGGAGGAGGCAACTTAGCCCGAGGGGCCATCTCAGACCCTGGTCCCATAGTCAGATAATGACATTGGAAAAATGGCTGGGGTATACAGATGTGCAGCACCTTTGGGCAGCAGAGCTTGCGCGGAACAGATAAGTTTCACGAAGACACCTCTTGTACTGGGAGGCACTGCCTACTTGCCTCCTGAAAGTGTGTGGTTTGGGCAGTGTCCAGCCTGCACAACTTGCAGCGGCCCGCCAGGAGCACCAGTGTTTCGGCAGGCCCAGCCGTCCTTTGTGTGTGTGCGGACGGTGACGAGAGGAGCCTTTAAAGAGGGGGCATTTGGGTTGGGCTCTGCAATGAGAGGAGAAGGGTATTCTGGGAGAAGCTGATGGTAGCAAAGGTGTGGACGCATAGCTCAGACTGACCTGGGCCTGAGGGACCCTAAGGTGACAGCAGACGAAGGGGGCTGGGGCCGGCCCCTGTTAGAGCCCCTGTGTACGTCCACCAGGGATCTAGAGCCTGAGTCTCAGTCTTTCTCTCTCACCTTTTCTATGAGGCTAAGAAGTTCCCTTAGAAAGTTTTGGGTGTCCCTCCAAACCCCAGAACCCCAGTCCTTGGAGTCATGAACCTTGATTCCCTTTTTCCCTCACTCAAACTCAGGTTGCCCAGAGGCAAAAGTTACTGAAGCCAGTGGTGGGCCATGTGTGAGGTAGAGCCTGCCTTGATGCAAACCTTGGGTCCAGGGTGTACACTGGGAGATAACTAGTGGGTTGGTAGGGAAGTGGTCTGGACTGTCTTTCTTTCCTGTTAGAGCTGCAGAGCCTTAGTTTAAGAAATGCATGCTGGCGGGCATGGTGACACATGACTTTAATCCCATCACTCAGGGAGGCAGAGGCAGGTGGATCTCTGTGAGTTCCCTGCTAGTCTGGTCTACAAAGTGAGTCCAGGACAGCCAAGGCTACACAGAGAAACCCTGTCTCAACGCCCCCCTTTCCCCCTTGTACACAAAAGGAAAGAAGTGCAGGCTGAAATCTGAGCCTTCCAGGAAGTTGGGAAGTAGAGTATGGCTCTAAAAGAAGGCTGCCCCCTAGTGGTAGTGACTGCTTTGGGAATTTCACCTGTGTGGAGCCCTGGCCATAGTTGAGTTCACTGGGAAAGTGAGACTCAGAGGTGAAGCTTCCTTTGCCAGTGAATAGCAAGGCTGTGACCCTGTGGTTGGCCCTATGCTCAAGAGTGTGAGCATGGATAAGTGAGCAAGTTGAGAAAAGGAATAAAGAGATCAGAGTTCATGAATGAATGAATGAGGGAGTGTTTTCAACTTTGAGGAGAGACCTAGACAGTGGTCCCAGAGGGGAGGCCAAGGCCACATTCCCCTGACTCCTGCCTCCTTGCTCCTGTTGCAGCCCCGAGCCATGATGAAGACCTTGTCCAGTGGGAACTGCACACTCAACGTGCCCGCCAAGAACTCCTACCGCATGGTGGTGCTGGGTGCCTCCCGAGTGGGCAAGAGCTCCATCGTGTCCCGCTTCCTCAATGGCCGCTTCGAGGACCAGTACACGCCCACCATTGAGGACTTTCATCGCAAGGTGTACAACATCCATGGGGACATGTACCAGCTGGACATCCTGGACACCTCTGGCAACCACCCGTTCCCTGCCATGCGCCGGCTGTCCATCCTCACAGGTGAGGTGACGGGGTAGGACAGCTGTCCAGCACTCCTGGTCCTCTATGGGAGGTGGAGGAGGCTGTGTTTAGAGCAGTTGCTTTTTTTGCCAGATGAGTGATGGTGGGGCTCTAGTACTGTATCCAGATGCTGGATCTGTCCTTATGGCTTTCCCACAGCTTAGGCCCTCAGTGATTGACACTAGCAGCCACGGGCACATGTTTAATCTTTACAACTAGCCATTTTACAAGGGGAAACTGAGGCAGAGAAAGTGTGTCTTCATCCAGGGGGAAGCACAGCTCATGATTGCTTTGAGGGACCTTCCCTATAGTCTGTCTGCCCTGCTAGGAGCAGCGTCTGAAGAAGGGCAGGATTGTGGGCTCCTGAGGCCATCTGGCGACATGGCACTGGCTGTCATGGTTGTTCCTTCAAGCCCGTCTTAGTTGATCCATGTCTTTCGTGTGACCACTGTGGGATGCAGCCATGCCCTCAGCTATCCCTGGACAGAGATAGGAGAAAACAACTCCCAAGGATTGGGGAGACGACTCAGTCAGGAAGATGTTTGCTGTTCAAGAACAAGGACCAGCATTTGATCCCCAGGACCCCCACCAAAAGCTGGGTACCCTGGGAGCATCTGTGATCCCAGCACCAAGGAGGCATAGACAGGAGGGTCTCTGGGGCTCACTGGCCAGAGGACCCAGCCTCATAGGCAGTTTCTAGATCCATGAAAGATATAACAGACAAGGTTGGTGGCGCGACAGGAGTAACATGTCATGTTGGCCAGGACGTACACATGCGCACACAAACACAACATGAGAATTCAAGACACTTCCACATCGAGACACTCCCACCCGTAACCCCACAGGCTGCCCCCTTTTTTCCTGCTCATGGGCTATTTTAGAGACCCATGGCAGGCTCCCTCCTCATCATGAGACTCCCTCTTTAAGGTCACCCTTTCTGTTCCATGCTGCTCATGGGACCCCCCCACCACCTCCACCCCAGATTCTGAGAGGGAGCATCTTGTTTAAGGAATCCACGGTGGACCTGGGTTCAAATCCTGACCCCTCTCTGTAGCATAGTGTTGCCATGTCACTGTCTCTGTGACCATGCTTCCCATGTGGCTGTGAGGGCAGGAGGGTGTAGGGCAGCTTCCCACAAAAGGTAAGTGCCGTGTGGGAGAGCTCTTCCGATTTGGGAGGGGATTGGATGCACACTGGTAGAAATATGCATACTTCAGTGTTAATTTTTCAGTTCTACAATCAATACCAGGACAAACTTTCCATTAAGCAATGCTTATTGGGCACGTATCCCCATCCCAGGCCTCTGACTTGTAGGTGGCCACCAGTCCCTGGCCAGCACCAGTGCGTTGACCTTCACTTTGTGCATCTGAAGGCACGTGCTTAGATCTTTCCCCTGTGTGCTGCATTCCAGACACATCTGTCTGTTGCTTTGATTGCTCACCAGTCCAGGCCAGGCCTCATTTTCCAGCCTAGTGCTGGGCAGAAGAGATACTCAGGGCTGCTCATTGCTGCCAGCTTTTCCTACAGCTGCTGGCCGGCCAGCAAGGCTCTGATGCCTGGCATTTGAAGTCTCAAATTTGAAGCCTTGGAGGCTGCGAGTTCTCAGGGGCAAGGATTAGTCTAATGGGTCAGAGTGAAACTTGGCAGCAGGAGCCCGAACAGTTGTTGGGCAGCCGAGGGCCTGCGCGTACTGACCTGTGTTCATTACCCTGGCCCTTCACCTAAGTGAGGACCATTGTGCATAGGCCCCAGGGGACAGGTGGATTGGCTAGAATGGAGTGTTGTGCTTCCGAGCCCTATCTCCTAGTTCATGCTGGTGTGTGTCACTTTAGGGACAAATATGCTTGTAGTGGCCAGAGAGGTGTCTGGACTCTATAAGCTGTGAGACTTGGCTGAACCCAATGTAGGGGCTATCTGCAAATCAGGAACCTTAGACCCACACTGAGGGGCTGTAAAAGCTGAGGGGAAAGTGAGAAGGGTCTTGGAGGATGAAATTTTTTTCTCTGGTGATTGGCTTGGGACTGCGGCTGGAGGCCCTTCCAAGGTGTGCCCTAATCACTGTGTCAGACTCAAGGCCCCACTAGTGTGTTAAAGGGGAAGCAGTGTGGGACACGATCTTGTACTTATCCCGTGGTTCATCTTGGAGTCAGAGAGCACATCCTGTGTGCCAGGCACGGGCCAGGTGAGTACCAGGTCAGATTGCAGCTTTGGCCTAGCCATATTCGAGTTGTGTGAGCTTGGGCAGGTTGCCTGCCTTTTCAGGGCCTTAGTGGGCTCACCCATAACAGGAAAGTAATAAAATCCTCCCTATGGAGGTATGGTGAGGTGCCAAGGAAGCAGCAGGTGTGCCCGATGCTCTGTTCCCAGCAGGTGCCTGTTCTCGTGAGCGTTATTGGTGCATGCCACCCTGCATGCGTTAGCTCTAATCACCCTCCTGCAAGGCAGCTTAAATTCACATGCTGTGAGAGGGGAAATTGAGGCACTCAGAGATTACATGGAGCCCTCAAGCTTACAGTTACTGAGTTGAGGTAAGAGGCAAACCTAGGCCCCTCTCACCAATGTCTTCCACCATGCAGTGACACCAGTCCATGCTGAATTCCTACTGTGGAGCAAGGTACTGGTCCAGGCTTCGGGAGTGTGGCCGGGTAAGGCCAGTCATACCTCCATGGAGAACAGGAGTTCTCCAAGAGCTACTGTGCAACCCCCTGGGGTGACTGAGCCCTCCACAGTCCTGTAAGGGAACAGGAAGGGGACAGACCACATCTGGGTCCAGCTGGTATGCCTCACTTTACCTACAAGCCCCTCTGAGCCTTGGCTCCCTTTTCTGGTAAGTAGGGCCAGTGACAGCAGATGCCCTGAGGAGCCTCCAGGTCAGGGTGTACAGGGTTCCCAGGTGGCAGTGGATGGGACCCGTGCAAAGTGGGGTACCAGGCCGTCCTGTCACTTATTAACTTGCCTCATTCCCTCCACAGGAGATGTCTTCATCTTGGTGTTCAGCTTGGACAGCCGGGAGTCCTTTGACGAGGTCAAGCGCCTCCAGAAACAGATCCTGGAGGTCAAGTCCTGCCTGAAGAATAAGACCAAGGAGGCAGCAGAGCTGCCCATGGTGATCTGTGGGAACAAGAATGACCACAGTGAGCTCTGCCGCCAGGTCCCTGCCATGGAGGCAGAGCTGCTGGTGTCTGGTGATGAGAACTGTGCCTACTTCGAAGTGTCAGCAAAGAAGAACACGAACGTGAACGAGATGTTCTATGTGCTGTTCAGCATGGCCAAGCTGCCGCACGAGATGAGCCCCGCGCTGCACCATAAGATCTCTGTGCAGTACGGCGAGGCCTTCCACCCCCGGCCCTTCTGCATGCGCCGCACCAAGGTCGCGGGTGCCTACGGCATGGTCTCACCCTTCGCCCGCCGCCCCAGTGTCAACAGTGACCTCAAGTACATCAAGGCCAAGGTCCTACGGGAGGGCCAGGCCCGAGAGAGGGACAAATGCAGCATCCAGTGAGAGTCAGGGACATTAGGGAGGGGCTTGGGCAGTGCCTTAAGGGAGGTGGTTGAGGGTTCCTACTGCCCACCTCCCGCAGGGGGCCATAGGTGTGTACACTGCCCGTTCTGATTGCTAGCCACCTCCTGTGAGTTCTTATGTCTGCGGTTTCTTTGTGGGAGGACAGAGACACGTTTGGGGACATGTCGACACTCATGCCGAGACAAGCTTTCAGTGTCCTAAGAGTGGGAGGAATGCAGAAAGGCCGGAGTCCTGCGTCAAAGCAAGCTGCTCAGTCCAAGTCACAGGATGAGAACATCTTAGCCAGATGTCCCAGCCAGATTCCCTGGTGGCCTCTGCTCCCTCTGTGTGGACCAGCCTGGTCTCTATGTCCCTGGAGAAACCATCCCCTGGGCCCCTGGGTCTTCAACTCCTGCCTTCTGGCCCAGCTGTGTATATCCACCCCTCAACTTAGCTCCTGGTCACTTGGACATTGAGCAGAGAGAGAGAGAGGAGAGAGAGTTAGTGTTTGTGTGTGTGTGAGTGTGTGTGTGAGAGAGAGTGAGAGATGACATGGTTGTGTCTCTCAGACCACTGCCTCCTGGCTCCACTCCCAGGCTCCTCCATATGACATTGCTCTTTGTTTTGAAGCTGTTTCCTGTTCTGTTTTGAGTAGACATGCAGTCTTGTTCTGTAAGAGCCCAGTGACTTGTCTTTGACCAGGCTTCCCAATTCAGATCCATTGCTTTAGCTGGGGTCCCCTTCTTCCCTGCTCCCAGGCAGGCTGTACAGCTGGGTCCTGCCCTGTGTTCAGCAGCTTATAAAATGAGCCTAAGCACCAGAGTCACAGCCAGGGTGCCTCAACTGCCCTCAGGAGAGGATGAAGGCCTTGGAGAAAGTGACTCTTTAAAGCCCTCCACATTCCTATCTAATTCTGGACAGAGCTCTCTCTAGGCAGAGCACCTTTCTTCTGCTGTGGTTCCTTAAGCAACAGCCGAACACCTAACTGGATACTGGGTCCCTTGTGTGCTAGGCAGCAGAGCGAAGGGTCCTGTCTGCTCCCGCCTCTGCCCACCCATAGTGCACCTTATGTACACACAGCAGTTGGAGGAAGTGGAGCAGCTGAGAGCCAGAGCAATTCCAGGATAGGTTGGAAAGAAGACTCATGGCGGGTCTTTTCCTAGTGCTCAGGCTGTGCTAGGTACTTCTCTCCCCAACACAGGAGTGGGGGTGAAAACCGAAGCCCCTGTTCACCAACTCTTAGTACATTTATTTGTGCTTTAGTCTTCTTAGTTCGAGATGGCAGTCAAGGCTCCTGCTGCCAAGCCTTTCAGCCTGAGTTTGATCCCTGGGACCCAGGTAGTGGAAGGAGAGAACTAACTCTTGTAAGTCATCCTTTGATCTCCACACATGCATCATGGTGGCACACAACAGATCACACACTATAAGCTGGGCCAGCCGTGGGCCTTTCGCACACCCATGTTGTGCTCCTAGAGTTCCCAGTGGCAGGGATTTGGACCACGTTACACATCCTTCCCCCAGAAGTGATCACTGAGGCTCTCCATGGATGCTGTGTACATTGTCGTCCTTAATGCACCTCAGATCCAGCTCCGCACACCAAGCCCAGGCCCTGACTGGATACTCACCTCGACACCTGCTGCCAGCACACCTGCTTCAGCACCTGTTGTCCTGCAGTGACCCCAGCGCCAACCCGAGTATACCAGCTACGCGTCCAGGCAGGTGTATGGCCTAGTCCCATCCAGTCAAGCTCCGCTGCCTAAGCCTCTGTGTACACTATCAATTAAAGTTGGTTTGTTAGCAGCTGTGCCCTTGATATCTGTTTCCTGTATTTCGTAGGAGGGGCCTCTCTCTTGGCTGGCCAAGGTCCCCATGCATACAACAGTGTCTTCGAGTTCAAATTTTGGAGGATGAAACCCAGCTAAGGAGATTGGGCCCTCAGTGGGCATTAACAGTTTCTCCAGCGATGAGTGAGCAGTGTGTGCAAAGAGTTTCGATGATCAAGACTGATTGAGGAGCCAGGCATTGTGGCATATGTCTATTGTCCTGGCTACTTAAGAGGCTGTGGCAGAAGGATTGCTAGAGTGACCAGCCTGGCAATATGAGTCTATTGCCCCTAAATAATAAAAAAGATGGGGTTACTCCAGATCTCTGTTGGGGCCAGAGATGCCGCTCAACACAGGACAGACACTTCCTAGGGTAAGCAGCTTGGGCGGGGCCAGCATCAGTCAATTTGTGACAACAGGCAGCTTCCTGAACATCAACAACAGTGAGTCTTGTGAAGTTAGAAGGGATGGAATGTGGTTGGGGGACAGCACCTGGAGGCAGGGATGTCAGACCCTGAATGACCCCATAGGTGCCTGAGTGCCCCTCCCTGGGCAGAGGGAGAGTCAGGAGGCTGCTGCTAACCTACCTCAGGTACCCTTCTGTCCATTTCCATGGTATGACTTGTAGCCTGTGTGTTCTCTAACTCGTTGGGCACAGAGTTCAGCTGCTTGCCCAAGAGGTATAGCTGACATGTGAATGAAGGTTCTGGAACCATGGCCGTCTGACCCCTGCATGGGTGAAGACAGGTGTGTATGGGAGAAATGTTTTCAGCATGGCAGGTGGCTTTGAGCATGGCAGGATGCAGGGCCTGCAGATGGGAGATCAGAGAATAGGACTAGGATTCCCAGGGCCAGGAACCCAGTGAGGGGGCTGCAATCCCTATAGGGACACTGCAAGCAAAGTAGGCTGTGTTGGGGTGTGGGAAAGCACCTCACCTCCCTGTCTGGATCTAGCTTCTCCGGCCCTTGGCCACACCTGACACGGGTCTGAGTGTGGCACAAAGCTCTTGGACACTTGTCATTTGTAGAACGAGACACTCCCTGTTACACTCACTGTCGTACTTATTCCATAGGAAGTGCTAGATAAAAAAGAGGTGCTGCACCCCGAAGTGTCCTCCCCAGTGTGCCCAGCCCACTGCCACCACTGCACATCCTCCATGTGGGACTTTGGGTAAATCACATCCCAACAAACACCATCTACTAAAAGGTGGTAGGCAGGGACCAGCTGGGCCAGATGAGCACAGAACAGCCCTCCAAGCTCCGATTCTGCAAATGTTTCCATTGCATAACCCAGAACCTGCTAGCAAAATGCTCCTCTTTTTCCCCCTCCTCCTTGTTCCATGCTCCCTCCTTCCTCTTCTCTCTTTTCCTCCCTGCTCCCACAATTCTGGCGCTAGAATGAGGTTAACAGGGAGGAAGACTTCCTCTCCAGGGACTTCTCAACCCAGGACAGTGTAGAATGAGCTGTTAGGAGCTGCCCCTCCTGGAGAGACTGAGCTGAGAGTCTCATGCCAATTAAATCCCCTGGCCTCTAAAATGAGCCATGAGAATCAGGTTTCAGAAGCCCACAGTCTGAACATCGAGTACTTGTCTGTTCTGCCTCCCTGAACCTGTCACTCAGGAGAAAATCTTCAGCCTTCGTCATGGCCTGGTGGAGGCTGACGGAGCCTGCCAGCAGCTCAGTAGCAAAGGGTGCTGGGAGTTGGGAGGGGAAGGGATCCGACCTTTGCTGAAGACTTACAATTCACTAAGCACATGCCGGCTGATGTCCTGTGTCCTCTCATTGGTTCTTCCTGGCGAAGCAACTGAATCTCTTTCTGATAGTTGGACAGATGCAGAGAAGTAGTGTTGCTTGCTTGATGTTGCACAGCAAAAATAACCAGGAAAACAGGGTTCATATCATCTGGTTTCATAGTATTTTGTTTTTCAGGGCATTGTAACTGGCTGGCTGAGGATCTGATCTCTGGAGGGGGTTTGGCAGGTGGCTGCAGAGAGAGATGACCTGCTCCACTTGGGCAGGCAGTACCTTGGCTTCTTCCGTTCTGGGATCCTCTGTGTTCAGGACCTTGTCATCATTTGTGAGGCAGAAGTCACATTAAGGTCTCCCTGGAGAGTCGGGAGAAAAAGCATAGGAGCGGCATGCCTGCACATTACATGTGGACTTCTATGGCATGGCAAGGCTTCAAGAATGCCCAGCTATTCAAAGCCACTGGCTTTCTGATGAGGGCAGAGGGTGGGGAGTGGAGGGTGGAGGTTGCTAGGTCTCACCCTCCCCCCCAAATGGCTAAGTGAGGTGCCTATTTAACACATCTATGCAGACTCTTACCCCCAGGTTCTCTCAGCACCACCAAACACCTGTTACAGAATCCTGGCTCCTCTCAGCACGTCTCACCTGCCCCTCAACCTCTCCAGTCCCTGAGCTTCCCTTTCCTTCCCCCACCTCTCTTTCCCATATAACTCAGCCATTTTGGCTACTTGCTCTCTTGGCTCCACTCTTGGCTTCCTACACTTCTTTTCGTCCTTTTGTTCTTCCCCTCTTCGCGGCTCCTCTCTCCCGTCATGGCCCAGTCTGTTCTGCTGGCCATGTGAATCTGCACTCTTCTAGATGCCTCTGGCTGTGTTCTCCCTCACATCTACAATAAGCCTTCTCAACCATACCTGGGAGCAGCCACGGCCTTTTATTCATCTGGTGCCAAAAACTGGGAGCAGTATATATGAGTTCTGTTTCGAGGGACTTGGCCGCTGATTTGACTCTCCTAAGGTATGTACAGATCATTTGTTTCTGCTGGTTTCTGCCACTCACCAAATTTGACACCAAATTTTATAGTCTCTTATTTCAGTGATAGTCCAATTCTAACATGAGAGTTGGTCTTCCTTTGAAGCTTGTAATTCCCAGTTTGGTCTTTCAGGGAGGAGATCACACCCCATGGATAGCTAGCTGACAACCCTCAACAGCCTTCCTTTCAGTGTTTTGGCCACAACTATTGATCTTTCTATTTCATGTCCTGAGGGCCTAGCTCAGGGTGATCCAAGCCTAAAGCTGAATTCCTTCAAGAATTTCTATTGATCAGATTCCATGGAGGGCTCACTTGTCCCCTGCCTAGCCAAGGAGTGTGGTGACAGAGCTTGTCTGCTATTCTTTAATTTGGGACCATCTCTGCCAAGTAACTGTCTAGTTAGTGAGTGATAGTTTCCTGCTGAAAGACTATACTTCCCAGCTTTTCTTCCAGCTAGGCAAGGAAGGGAGGGACTATGAGAAGCAACAAAAGTTGTCTCCAGTTTCTTCTTGTGCTGATTTTCCCTCATCCTGCACAGCATGGAATGTATGGCCTTGGTATCCATGTGGGTGAGGTCTGAGATAACCCCCTTGCTATGTCAAACACGGTCCTGTCTAAAGGTCAGCTTTGCCTTTCTCTTTCTGACTCTCTGTCTCCGTTAATCTGCCAATAATAATCTAACGATGGGGGTGCAGCAGAAGTTACTGTTGGCAGTCTGAGGGGTTCCCCTTCATCTTTCAGAGGTAGCAACTGGGGTAAGCCATATTTCTGATGATATTACAGAAGAAAATTCCGGGATGAGCCTGTGAGAAGCAGAGCTAGAAGAGACATTTTAAAAATAGATTTTTAAGCAGGAAGGTTAAGAAAAAAAAAAAAGTAGGCACTCAGGAAAAATAAGATATTTTCCCAAAGGAAATTGTTAGGAATCTTTGCAAAAGATATGCATATAGGATCTTGTGGGTTCGAAGTTACATTGCTTAAAGGGTGAAATTTCCAATAAGATTTAATGATTAAGCAAAGTTTAAAATGTAAGTTTAAAACTTGTAAGAATATATGAGCCAGTCTACTTAATGCTTTTATCTTAAAGAATTTCTTTTTGTAAGTAAACCGTAAGGTGGATTTAAAAAGGGTATTATTTTGGTTTAGGGATGAGAGAGGAGTGCTGACATAGGAAAACTCAAATGTACACACATGTTGGCCCTAAATAATCACAGTTGTTATTTTTAACATCCTTGTTTGAGATACGTTTAGGAAAGCATGAATTATTAGTCCTGTAGCCAATTGTGGTTTCATCGGTGGTGTCTGAAGTTTGTTGATTCTGTGAGAAAGAAAGTCAAACTAGATCTCAAGATGGAGGGTTGGTTTCTTCTTTCTTTCTTTCTTTCTTTCTTTCTTTCTTTCTTTCTTTCTTTC